GGTGCATCTCTGCGTGACAGGTGATGGCGGCTGAAGATACATGGAAGGAAAACTGGACCGCTCCGTGCTACGCAGCACTCGAGGGTGCGGGTCTCAGCCATTGGTTTTGCGCTTGTTGGTGTCGAAGGAACCACGGCGGTTTGGCGTTCGCAAAGACAATACAATGGCATGAAACATGATGGCCTGCGCCAGACCCCTTGGGACGTTTGACGACGAGCGTCTAATTATGGACTGCACGCAAGACCGTAGACGCAGCACAGGAGATTTACCATGCAGACTAGGCTCAGTCGTCTCAAGTGCATATGCAGGGATGGTGATGTGAAGCTTGGAAATGGACGTCTGAGGTTGCCAGGGCTGAGAGATGTCTTGGCTGGCCGCCGGCGTCACTCAGTCGCGCCTGCCCACTCGAAACCTCCGCAGACCTCCTTCCCTTCGTTCCAGCGTGACTGCCGCCATATTTGCGCCCCGTTGGACGACATCGATACCCGTCCGCCGCCCCTGCCGTTCTGCCATTCGCTGCTACACAGAGAGCGCCGTGCCGTCTAGGGAACGCCATACCGCTTCCGAAGTCTGCAAGACCGCCGTCATGGACTCGTCAGACTACTTCACACCCGTCCGGGAAGACCGAGATGCCCCAGGGCCGCCGACTGAAGACTCTGACACCGACATGGCCGCCTCTGCCACCGCTACAGCCTCGTCCTCGCGCTCCACCATGTACACATCACCACACCCGCGCAAGCCCGGCCGCATGTCTCGATCGGGAGCACCACGGCCCATACTCACACCCAACAGCCCCCTGAGCTCGACGATACCGCACAATCTCCTCCCCTCTGCGCCCGCCTCACCGCCTACGCCTGCGCCGAGTCCGACACCGACCCAGCGGGTGCCCGACTGGAGCACCGCCGCCGAACACGAAGATGGGGACATCAAGAGCATACGGGCGCAGTTTGGCGACATGAACAGAGCCGAGCGGATGCGCCTGCTGGGCGAGCTGCTTAATTTGTGCGACAGCCAGGAGCTCAGCTTTGTTGCCGAATTCGTCAGTCCCAGATTGAAGAAGGACCCCTTCATGGTTCTGCCTACCGAACTCTGCTTAAGAGTGTGTTTTGTATACATTCCCCGTATAGTATCGATCGCTGACACATCGCACAGATTCTGGAATGTGTAGACGACCCCACTACCCTCGCTCGGGCATCGCAGGTATCCAAGAAGTGGCGCGAACTCGTCAATGACGACAGCGCCTGGCGGTTACTGTGCCAGAAGTACTCCTTCAGGGCTCTGTCGAGAGAAGAAAGAATTGAGGAAGACGACACAACCGACGAGATGGAGGACACCGACTCAAAGTCATGGTGGCAGAACGGCGAGCGCGCACCGAGGGTAGAGGACGTCGCTACGAGAGAACACCTTGAGGTCGGCCCGTCCAACAGCGGTGCCGATGGTCTGCGGACGCAGAGCCTGGACCGAGCCGCGAAGAGGAAACCTTCACAACGAAAGCAACAAGCAACCACATACCGGTCGCATTTCAAGCAGCGGTACATGGTTGAGACGGCGTGGCGGAATGGAGGAGTGTGCGATGCGCGGCAGATTACTCCGGATCAGGGCGTAGTAACCAGTCTACACCTGACCAACAAGTACATTGTGGTTGCACTTGACAACGCGAAGATCCACGTCTTCGATACTGTCGGCGACCATCAGAAGACGCTCCAGGGACACGTCATGGGTGTATGGGCTATGGTGCCTTGGGGCGACCTGCTAGTCAGCGGTGGATGCGATCGCGATGTGCGCGTCTGGAATCTTGCAACTGGGTAAGTTGTTCTGCTGTCTTCCCCATGATAGCAACTAACAGAGGTTGTCAGCTTTCCCCAGTTCACTCTGCGCGGTCATACTTCGACTGTGCGATGCTTGAAGATGTCCGATGCGAACACGGCTATATCCGGCTCAAGGGATACGACACTGCGCATCTGGGATCTCAAGAAGGGCCTATGCAAGCATGTACTCATTGGTCACCAGGCTAGCGTCCGATGCCTCGAAATACACGGTGACATCGTTGTGTCCGGCAGCTACGACACCACAGCCAAGATTTGGAGCATATCCGAGGGCAAGTGCCTGCGCACACTCACTGGCCACTTTAGTCAGATATATGCGATCGCCTTTGACGGGAAGAAGATTGCAACAGGCAGTCTGGACACCAGTGTCCGGATATGGGATCCCAATGATGGGTAAGTCCGCTCGCGTGCCACAACATTATCGAAATTAACTCTCTCGTGTAGCAAATGCCTCGCTGTACTACAGGGCCACACCTCGCTTGTCGGGCAGCTTCAGATGCGTGACGACATTCTTGTAACTGGTGGATCAGACGGCTCGGTACGCGTGTGGAGCCTCGCAACGTACCAGGCTATTCATCGACTAGCTGCCCACGACAACAGCGTTACGAGTCTACAATTCGACAACACCAGGATTGTCAGCGGTGGCAGCGATGGTCGCGTCAAGGTCTGGGATCTAAAGACCGGTGTCCCCGTCCGAGAGCTAAGCAGCCCTGCCGAGGCCGTTTGGAGGGTGGTGTTTGAGGAAGAGAAGGCCGTCATAATGGCCAGCAGGGGCGGTCGGACAATCATGGAGGTAAGCTTGAAGCACGCAATTACTATTACCACAACATACTAATCCGTCTAGGTGTGGGACTTCTCGCCCCCTGCCGAAGAGGACTTCGACTCCCGATCCTCTACACCAGCGAGCATGCCCGATCATCTCGCCGAATACAACCGGCCGCGGTCCGCCATACTTCCTGCAACTTCACCGCTCGTGCAGGATACGGGCGCTGGCGACGTTACCATGGGCGACGCAAGCGATTCATAATACAACAATAGACTTCCAGAGCACTAGCAGTGCAGTAAAGGCCGTTAGGCGCTGTCACTCCATCGCCGCCGGAGCTCGCATCCAGGGCCTCGACAATAGCTGGAGGCTTCCACACGGGGAGGTCCGGTAGAAACCGATATGGACAGCACTAGTCGAGTTACAAGGCCTACATCCGAGCATCCACCACCAGCGTGGAGCGGTATCTCCGGACTCACGATGAGCCCATCCGCGTTTACAAACGTGATAACGAAACGACCGATTTGTTGTTCGATTATAGCTCCATGGCCGGTCACGCACACCTGAGACCATATGGTTGGCATCCGTAATGGGGAATTGAAATGTGCGAAAGATCGATGAACAGCTTGCATATGGGGCGTCTTGTTGCATCCACAGCCCATATCTGGTATATAACAGGAAGAGCTTGGATTTGTTTGGACTTTTGTTTCTTCGAAAATGTATGCATGATATAGGAGCGTGGGCTTTTGAATGACTTGGGGCCGGACAAAGGCAGGGGAGTTCAATGTGAATAGAATGTCAATACTCTTCAAATAATCCAATGTGTTCGGAAGGTTGTGTATGTATTAAGCTTCACTGAATGGATCGAAAGGTAACATCTCGATACCTTGTTAGCCAGACAAATACTGTACTCAGCCTCCCGTAATGATGCTTGAACTTGAAATTATAATATCTCCCGTTGATTTTGCAATGAAAGACCGACTATTTACAAACGCGCGATACTCAAGACTGCCCAAAGTGCTTACTGTTGAACTGATCAACAATTTCTCTTGCAGCTTTGACAATCTCCACAGCCCCAGGCGAATCCGAGTGGCAGCACATCGAGACCTCGTGGTCCCCTATAGGAAGTTGCAGTTCCTCGCCGGTAACAGCCGTGACAGTTGCAGTTTCTACCTGACTCTGAATGTGCTTTCTCGCCTCTTCTGGAAGCCAAGGTCTGCACACAGTCAGCATTGCACTCAATGGAAGCATACGCATGCAACATACCTCTTCTTACGGTCGATTACCAAGGTCTTGTCCTTGTTGTACTTGACATCTCCGTAAAGCTCTGCTACGAACGGCAATCCAAGCTCTTTCGCAACCTCTTCGTGCAGAGTTCCCGCAAGACCAAATACTGTTGTTCCTTTGGGCACACCAGCATAAACTGCACGGCACACTTCCCTGTCCCGATACATCATCCCGTACAATACGCCATGGGGCTTGACATGATGTAAGGGCACATCTTCTGCATCCAAAAACGCTTTCAACGCGCCGACTTGGTAGCGAACAGCGGCTGTCAGTTCTTCCGGCGACATTTTGATCTCGCGTCGGCCGAAGCCTTGAATGTCCGGGAGGCCAGGATGTGCACCGATTTTGATGTTGTGCTTTTTGCAGGCCAATACTGTCTGGTGCATAATCAATGGGTCCCTGATTACTTGTCGTCAGTAGAGTGGAATTGGCGATATCGATACAAGGGTTTCACGTACCCAGCGTGGAAACCACAGGCTATGTTTGCATGGTCAATAAGTGGAATTAACTCATCATCTGGCCCGCATTTGAAGTTTCCGTATCCTTCACCCAGATCCACGTTGATCTTTACAGGATGCTTGATAGCTGGCATTGTAGACCCTTGTACGAAGAAACTCGTTAGCTGGTGAGAGTGAAGCACTACGGTTGGAGTACGAAGTGTCTTGCGTTGGTTCTCGAGTAGGTCATCAGATGCGCGTGTAGTGGTAGCGGAGAGAGTTGGAGTAGTTGGAGTAATCCGCTCGGACCGGAGGTCATGCTTTCATACCATTCCAAAGTCATACTCGGCGTTATCCCGCAATGGTCGAACTTTCCCCACAGCTGTTAAACGCGCTGCACGCGTAGCGTCATCCTCCAATCCATGGATGCTTGTTATCGACCCCGCCTCTCGAACGTCGGCGGTGACGTCTGCATCACCGGAGACACCCCGGGAGAAAGCCTACGCGTTTGGTAAAGCACCAATGACAACGCCTTCGCTCTAACGGGTGGAGGTAAGATATCGGCGCGAAAGGGGAATGGCGGAAAGGTGGGGTCATGCAACCTGCCTCCAACTATGGAACTCATAGAAAGAGCCGGCTCGTGAATGATTTGGATCCGGTGATTGCGTTCGCGTACCATTTGCTCCAATGTCTGACATGCAAAAACTACGAGTTCTGTTGATTGCGAATAGAGGCGAGATCGCGGTATGTGGCGCTGACGCCGCGGAATTGTCCCGTTATCGATAACAACCCCCGACTGACATTGTGGGTATAGGTACGCATCACCAGAACAGCCAAAAGACTCGGTATCAAAACCATCGCCATCTATTCAGAAGCCGATGCCGCATCGCAACATGTCCGAGATGCCGATGAAGCAGTTTTGCTACCAGGAAGCAACGCGACTGCATATACTGATGAGGCAGCCGTACTGCGCATAGCCAAGGAAAGGGGCGCGCAAGCAATTATACCTGGATATGGGTTCCTGTCAGAGAACGCCCATTTCGCGCGTCTGGTCGGTGATGCAGGTCTCATCTGGGTCGGGCCATCATCGGACGCCATCGATGCCTTTGGTGTTAAGCACACCGCCCGAGATCTGGCGGAAAAGGCTCATGTTCCTATCGTACCCGGGACGAAAGGCCTAGTCGAGAACGAAGAGGTGGCAGCAAAGGAAGCCGAGCGTATTGGATTTCCTGTCATGTTGAAAGCGACCGGGGGCGGCGGTGGTACGTCAAATTCGTTCATAACCCACGTGTGAGATACATGCCATCGTCTAACATCGACATTTAGGAATGGGACTCATTACTTGCAACAATGCCGAAGAGGTTCGCGACGGCTTTCGAATGGTGCAATCTAGAGGAGAAACGCTGTTCAAGAACCCCGGAGTTTTTATCGAGGCCTTCTATCCTGCCTCTCACCACATTGAAGTACAGGTGTTCGGTAATGGCCAGGGTCAAGCCATCCATTTCGGCGAACGCGAATGTTCCATCCAAAGACGACATCAGAAGGTCATTGAAGAATGTCCAAGCCCGTTTGTAGAGAGGCATCTCGAGCTGCGAAAGAAGCTGGGTGAGGCTGCGGTACGCCTCGCCGAGTCGATCAAATATGGTTCTGCTGGCACCATCGAATATCTCGTTGATGATAAGTCTGGCGACTTCTTCTTTCTGGAGATGAACACGCGACTTCAGGTTGAGCACGGCATCACGGAGCTTTGCTACGATATCGACTTGGTAGAACTCATGCTGAAGCAAGCAGATGCACAACTAGCAGGCAAGCACGGGCTCGATGGCAAGACGTTGAAAGACATGCAACCCTCAGGACCGAGAGGATCGGCTATCGAAGCTCGTGTTTACGCTGAGAATCCGCTAAGAGACTACGCACCCTCGCCCGGTTTACTGCAGAAGGTAGCCTGGAAAGATGTCCCTGGCAGTCGAGTCGACACGTGGGTCTTCACTGGAGTTCGCATTACTCCCAATTACGGTACGACGCCCTTTCTTTCTCTCTTTACAGGAAACGCGAATCCTATATTGATATCAGAACCCTGATAGAGTAGGTCAGTTCCTTACTAACGATGACCAGATCCTTTAATAGCGAAAGCGATGGTCCATTCTCCATCCAGAGACGAGGCAATCGCGTCAATGAGTGAGCTGCTCACCCAATCTACCATTTGCGGTCCCCCTACCAATCTCGAATTCCTCGCCAACATACTGGACGATTCGCGCTTCAGGAACGGCAACACCATGACCAGCTTCCTCACAGACTTCAAGTACTCGCCTCAAGCTATCGACGTGATTTCGGCTGGAGCATACACTTTAATTCAAGACCTTCCTGGGAGGCCAACAGTTGGTAAAGGTGTACCTCATTCTGGACCCATGGACCCGATCGCATTCCAGATCGCGAACATGCTCGTGGGAAACCCGCGATCAAAGGAAGCGCTGGAACTCACGCTGAGTGGACCAGAACTGAGATTTGTTGGCCCTGCTATTGTCGCGCTGTGTGGAGCTCCTATGGAAGCATTATTGGACGAAGAGACCTTTCCTATGTGGACCAGCGTAAAGATCGAAGCTGGTCAAAAGCTCAAGATTGGCAAGACGACAGGCGGGGGCTGTCGCTCATATCTTGCAGTCTTCGGGGGATTCCCGTCTGTTGCGGAATACTTCGGCTCAAAGTCGACATCGCCGCTCGTAGCGATTGGAGGCTACCAGGGCCGCGCGCTGGCACCAAGCGATCTGTTACAGACAGTGGGAGAGCTTCCAGACGCTTTCACTAGCGTTTCGCTCCCAGAAAAGCTGCGCCCCATCTACAAGTCAAGCTGGGAAATAACAGCGATGGTTGGACCCCACGACGAAGGCTACTTCGATCCGAAGTTCATCGAGGAGATATACAAGACTGAGTGGAAGGTATCTCACAACGCATCGCGGAGCGGAATCCGTCTGGTAGGACCGGTACCGAAATGGGCCCGTAAAGATGGCGGCGAAGGAGGCGCGCATCCAAGCAATCTGATAGAGTACGGCTATCCACTGGGCACCTTGAACTGGACTGGAGACGATCCGTGTATCTTTCCTGTGGACTGCCCAAACTTTGGTGGGTTCACCAGCTCTACTACAGTCGTTAAAGCCGACTGGTGGAAGCTGGGCCAGCTCAAGGCGGGGAACACTGTGAAGTATGTCCGGGCTGGTCTCGATGATGCACTGAAGAAGAGAAAGAGAAATGACAGCTTTCTGGACTCAGTTCAGCAAGCCATTAACGGCGGACGCGACTTCGAAGGCATCGAGAAAATGCAAGGTGCGCACTGCAACTTCCATGAGGGGGATATTGGAAAGGCGGTCATTTGGGAGAAAGAGCAGAACAATAGCACTCCACAAGTCAGATATCGTCAAGGAGGTGATGACCATATCCTGATCGAATACGGAAATGAGAATTTCGATCTCAATCACCGTTGCCGCGTCACTGCTTTGGAGAACGCATTACACTCAGACTCAACCCCCGAACTCATCAAGTCCAATCTGTATAATACCGTGGGGTGCTGTACATCGCTTCTCCTCCACTACAACGGTTCCAAGCTCCCTCGATCAGAGCTCATTGCGCACCTTCAGTCCATCGAATCAAATCTCGGCGACCTGAGAAGCACCAAAGTCCCTACCCGCGTTTTCAAGCTTCCTATTTCATTCGAATCGAAACTCCAAGACGAAGCAACTCAACGCTACATGACTAACCAGCGGCCTCACGCACCGTATCTACCCGATAACCTTGCGTTTGTCGCAAAGAACAACGCTTTCACGCCACAGCAGCTGAAGGATATATATCTCACAGGCCAATTCATGGCAGTAGTCGTCGGCTTCTTCTGCGGTAACACAGTATCGCTGCCCGTAGATCCGCGCCAACGCCTCTCCGCTCCAAAGATGAATCCAAGTCGCGTTTTCACACCCGAAGGCACAGTTGGATGGGCCGGCTCTTGCATGTCGATATATCCCGTTGACTCACCTGGTGGGTATCAGATGACCGGCCGAACGGTACCATGCTGGGACTACTATTCCTACAAACCCGGGTTCGACACTAAGCCTTGGATTTTCCGTGACTTCGATATCTTGACCTTCTACCAGGTCAGTGAGAAGGAGCTCGATGATCTACTAGGCAAATTCCGTGCTGGAAAGTACCAGTGGGAGTACGAAGACGTGGAGTTTGATATGGCGCAGCACAACGAGCTTCTAGAGAAGACGAGCGATGAAGTCAGGAAGATTAGGGAGAAGCAAGCGGTTGCCCAGGAAGAGATGACGAAAGCCGAGAATGAGAGTTTAGAACGCTGGAGGAAGGAGAAGGCTGAGAGTCAGGTTGACGAAGGGACCGTGGAGAAGCTGCTGGATGATCCGGATATCGTTGGGGTTGAGGCGCCGGTTGACGCGAATGTGTGGAAGGTGGAAGTTAGCGAGGGCGATGAGATTGGAGATGAGAGTGTGGTAAGTGACTTCGCGTGGCTGTTCATCTGGCATTGCTAATATGATATAGATCGTCATTCTTGAAGCGATGAAGCTGGAGATTGCGGTCAAGACGCCAGACACGCTGGCAAAAGCGGGCAAGTTAAAGGTTGAGAAGGTTTTGGTGAAACCAGGAGATACTGTGACAGCTGGAGGACATTTGGCACTGTTACGCAAGAGCTAGCTGGGGAATGTAGTTCATTCATTGTAATCCATGGGTGTGTAAGCTATTTCATGCATCAGAATGACATCCGTGTGAACAATACGTAGCCACCTTTCCACATCGCTCAGTATCAAGCTCATGTCGTCTCCAACGAACTAGAACTCCAGTTCCTTCAAGTTGAGACCAGTACCGCAGCTTGTATCTTTAGTCGGTTTCATATCTGCCCGACCCCAGTCGTAGATTCCGCCACGCTCTACGAAGGACTTCTTGTCCCAGACGATTTGCTGCATGGCCTTCTCAACACCAACATCCAAGATAGACGCGCTCGTCGTCATCATGCCCTCGCCCTTGTCCATGAAGCGCATGTACTCATCAAGCAATAGGTAGCTGCTGGCCATCGAGTTGTTGTCTTCGGGTACGTAGCATGATAGGTGCTTGTGGCGATCGCAGAACGTGCGCCATTGTTCGTCAGTGACCAGGAACGTCCTTGCATCGCGCTTCCGTGTCTCGTCGTCGTTCTCGCCTGCAACGATGAGGCATTGGAAGACCTTCCATCGGAATGGCGCTAGCTCCTCGATATTGGCGACCATATCTTCGTTCCAGTTGTGTATGTTGACGACGGTGTTTAGCTTGAACTTGACGTTGAAAGCCCGGCACCACTCGGCAATTTGGAACAGTCGAGCGACGTTCTTCCCGTCGTCACCACGGCCAATCTTGACGTTCGTCTGCGCGTCGAATGAGTCGCAGGAGATGGCCAGAATGTCCAGCCACTGAGAATTCTCTCGCATCCATTTCTCAGTGATCTTGCTACCGTTGCTGACGATGCTGATGCTTTCGACGCTCAGGTCTTCTTTGCAGTAGCGAATCAGGCTTGAGAGAAGCTTGGGGTGTAGGAATGGTTCACCGCCCGCGATATTGAGTTTGCGCATGCCCGCATCTCTGAGCAGTCTTAGACCTTCTCGCGCTTTCTCATCGCTCAGGATGTAGGAGCTGGTCTCGGTGTGGAAGCAGAATTTGCATTTGTAGTTGCACTCCCGAGAAGGGAAGTAATTGACTGATACCGGCGCATCTGGTGGCTTCGATGGATCCAAGGGCTCGTGGACGACCGACGTTTCAACGGCTGGCTCGTTGGTAGAGGGCTCTTCAGTAAGTGATACGGGTGTGAGAGTTTTGGCGGGCTTGATAGCGGTGGACTTGTAGACAACGTACGCGCAAGTCGCGAGGACAATCCCGACAAAGTACCGAAGAGCGGGTACTTCAGCGACAAGTGAGAGGAGCACCATCGTAAACGGTATTTCCGGAGACGACGTGGATGATGAGTGATAGTTGCTGCAAGAGAACCAAAGTCTTCAGAAATAAGAGGAAGTTGGTGCGGGATGCGTTAACTTCTATACAGGCAGTGATGGTTCGGCCTAATAGAGGAAGTTCCGAGCCTGGGTAATGTGGGTCTTGAACAGCAAGAAATCGCTTTCGATCCCAACTTCCTTGATATACTGAGTGGGGGCGCTTGCTACAAACGGCAATCAGGGCTAACAATCAGTGGAACGCCCCGGAAGCACATACCAAGCACCTTCCACAATCTTACTGTGCCCCACCGCGACCCTCCCTACCTCGCATGAGAAGTACAGTTCCTCTGGTCTCATAATAAGCAGCTATCGGTACCATGGCAGCCTCAGATCAGACCAAGGAGTCCCCTCGCGGCTTTGCTATCGCGTTCGTATTAGGTATACTGCTCAGCTTCGCTTTCAGACTTCAAAGTAACCCATGACTAGGCGCACCTGGTGCGGGGAAGGGAACACTGTGTACGCGCCTAGCTCGAGACCACAACCTGGTACACTACTCTGTCGGCGACAATCTGCGAAGCTGGATGCGTGAAAATGTCAACGCACCGCTCGCAGTGACTATCCAGGACAAACTCGACAACCAGGGGTTCTTGACTGCAGAAGAGTTAAATCCTTTCATTGCGCGCGCAATCAAAGATGCATTGTCCCAACAACCACCCAAGGCCGGCATCCTGGTGGATGGATTCCCACGAAGCACCGAGCAACTAGAATCATGGAACGTCTGGCCATTTCCCGAAGATCTGCCAATTGCAAGTGGAAGTAACACCAATGCAAAACCAGACATCGTATTATCGTTACGCGTCAGCAAACAAAACGCCAAAGCCAGATACTCGGCTCGAGCCCGGGATAGCAACGATAGCGATGAGAAATTCGAGCGGCGCTTCTCTGAATATGAGGAAGAAACTTTGCCCGTGGAGGAAGTTTATCGTGAACGCGGCATTTTGATCGATGTGAGCATGTAAAACGTTACGAAAGATCCAACACTAAATTACATCCAGATCGACGTGAATGGTTCGAAGGAAGAGAACATTATAGAGATGACCAATAGCCTTAATGGAAGTAGTCTCTGGCGGAGAGTTATGGTCGAGAGATGTATGGACACGCATTTTATCGTTACGTAGCCATGTACTTCGTAACTCGTTCGCAAAGTAATAGGTCGCATGTAGTTGGACGCCACTAACTTCTGCCAGTCCATGGCATGCCACGGCAACCGACCTTATCCCATGGATCTTGCGAATATTTCCCTTCTCTGTGCATTGTTTCATGATGCGTGTTACAGAGACGTGCCCGTTGTCCTGGTGGACCAAAGCTTTCCTTAGTCCCTTCATGGCCCAACATATTCTGCCCCAGCGACGTATGATACAAGCATCGCCGAAAGGTATAATGATTTCATAAGACGAGAGCATCCAGATATCTCTCACATTAGGACTGGGGAGTGAGAGGCAATTCTCGGGACCTGGAATGAACGATTTCGATGTCTCCTTGACCCCGGGCTTGAGTCTGTCGTATATTCTCCGCGGCGGAACTAGAGGACATCTGAGGGGTCTATTAGGATGATGGAAATGAAAGACGGGATTTGCTCGCAGTCGCAACTAGCCAGGAGGTCATATTCTTACGTCGCCTTGTTGAAGTTTGTCGGACCAGTCTGGTCTATACTTCGTTTTCATGTGTTGCATGAGATCGACTAGGGAGGCTGAGAGGGCAGCGGAGCTTGGCCACCTCCAGGAAGAGAGCTCGAGAACGAGGAGCGCGTTGGAGTACAACTGGATAAGGTTCCCGCCAAAGATTGCCGGCATGTTCTGTATGAGCACTGTGCCTGCTCGGTATACCCAATGTGGCGTGACGAAGACATGGATGCCGCCGAAACTCACTACAGCCTCTCTGTTTGTGATGGTTAGTATGACATCCTTCAAGGCATGCGGATATTACGTACAGCACATGCCATGCACTCCCCCAACAAGGATTCAGCAACAAGTGTGTTATGTGTAAGGTAATGCGTATGACAGGGAGCAGCTCGTCTCTCTCGTCAAATAGCGGTAAAAGCTTCTTGACGTTCTCCTTGGCGATGTGGTCGCCTTTTCGGAAGCGATTTTGCATGCGATATAATGAGCAGAGGTATTCCGCGGGCTTCTCTTTGTCAAAACACATTTCTTCATCCTGCGATAGATGAGCCATGATCTTCAGAAGGCTGCGCAGCCGATAGACTCACCGGCTCCGGAAACAATGCAGGTCTATCCAGTGTAGATGCAATCTGGTTCTCAAGGCAGAATATGGTCATGTGCATGGCTCGCAGTAGTTGGACATCGTCGGGATCCAGCTCTTGTAACGCTCTTTTTGACTCAAGGTCGAATGCAAGACGGCCTGCGAGAGCTATTTGCTGGCCAATGTTGCCAGCTATTGGGTCAAATGAGCTATTGATAGCGAGTAGTAGAACCGACCGGATGGTGTCGATGTTTGGTTCCATTGTTGCTAACTCGAGGTGTTCCATAGCATCTGCAAAGTACTGAGTGGCAAGGGCCCGGTATCTAATGGAATTGGCCTGGTGGTATGTGAGCCTACCCCTAGGGTTCCAGCAAGTATCAGGAGGTTGCTTTTTACGGGTGTTGGGAAGGATGTAGCATGCTATGGAATATATCATATACAACGAGAACTTCTCGGTGTCCGTTAGGTCACCAGGTACGTCAGGTCCGAGATAACGGAGCGATGAATCCAGGATTGGATATATAGGTTGCACAGTTTCGAGATAGAGTTGCACCAGCTCATACTGCTTCTCGGGCGAATCTTTGTTGCTGTAGTGCCAGTCGTCAAGCTCTTCGTCAGTCTGCACGGCACGATTTTCGTGCGCAGTGTGTAGTCTGGGGGATTTGAGAAGGCAGGATTCAGCGCCAAGGTATCGATAGCTGTTTCCCGCTTCGGCGAAGTGATGTTCGTATCGAGGAACTTCAGAAGCGATGAATTCTGTTTTGACGTGTGTAGCAAAGGCGCCATTGTCCGTGAGCCCGCCGGATGTCGCTGGCGACCCATGGCCACTGGACAAATTGCGCACACGATCTACTAGCTCGCTGATGTAGCTGGGCATGTCTTAGTACGAGTTCGAGGACAAGCCTCGTCTGCTCACCTTCGCGGCAGCAGCTGATTGCGTCCGTGGTCGTAGAACATGCATTCTACGCCGGCTTTGGTGCATTGCCTGACAACGTTAGCAGGACGCGCAGGGTGGGACAGAGAAGCCATGTACCTGCACTTGGGCAATAAGGTATCGCATCCGCGGCGACACTCTCGGCATCGCTTGCATGCGGGGAGACTCTGGGGAAGTGTAAGTGCACGATGGCGAATTGCGGAGACGGCGGCGTTACCTGAATCAGAGCATCTAGATCGAGCGTGGGGGGCTTCGAGGTCGCGGCGGCCATCGGAGTGGGCAGTTTGCAAGGAGGCGACAGGTACGGGTCAAGGTCTAGCAGAGCTGTCGTCTGTACTACGATCCATCGCGCGCCGTCGTCATGTCAGCGACAATGGTCGGAGACGCGATGGGAGGCCTGGGCGGAGTGGATGGCGAGCGAGGACGATCTTATCTGGCTAGGGCGTCCCAACACAGAAGCGATCACCCCGGCCGCCTGTATCCCGCGTGCCCACAGTCCGCCCACATGCCAGCATCCCGTCCTTCGTTCGAGAACACCAGCCATCGGGAATCATCACCGCCAGCAAGTCCTTCATCTCCGCCATGACAACGGCGCCATCGTGGTACAGACGCCAGACGCTCGAGGTTGGCCATGCAGAACCGCACCAAAGTCCGTCGTCGCGTGCTGGCCTGTGCTCGCTGTCGGAAGCGTAAACTCTCGGTAGACGCTTTCCTCTGCCCCCGTCATACATGTACTGACTCCATCAAGTGTGATGGCAAGGTTCCCGCCTGCACGCGTTGCGTAGATGCTAGCGTCCAGTGTGTGGGTTTCGATTCTTCAACCCAGCAAGAAGCTCCGCGCTCTATTGCCGACTTTCTGGAAGCGCACATCGCTCGGCTTGAGGGCCAGAGCAGCACGCCCTCGACGCTGCCATCTCTGGGACAGTCAAGTGCTACTCTGTCATCTCCGGCAGATTCTCACGCATCTGACTCGAGGCCGGGGAATTGGCGTCCAGAGAAATGTGCCTTCGCCGACAGCCTCGTCAACCAGGTCATGCAAGACATCACGCCTTCTTTCCTTGGTGTGTGCAAAGCTCGGCCCTTCCTCCAGTGCGTCATCAGAGGCACGAGGCTGCCTTCGAAAAAGGGACCTGTTCTTTCCAACGATCTGAACGAGAACCACCCCAGATCCATCTTGAACCCTCAGCAGACCAAGGGGCTGTTCTATGACCTCATGCCTGACGAGGTTGGCGCCAACAAACTACTCCAAAACTACTTAGACCGCGTCATCACACAATACCCCATCTACCATCGAAACGACGTGACAACTGCTTTCAACTCCATCTACCACAAGAAAGCAGCAACGCCAAATGAAGACTCATTCCGCAATCGATACATAGTCTGTATCATCATGGCCATCTCGCTAACAACAAGCGCACGGAATAATGTGCAAAAGGCAAACGACCTTGCCTATCAGCTAGTTCGACACGCTATGCAATGGATTCCAGAGGTTGCAACCAACGATATTGCTGGACTACAAGCCATACTGCTATTAACCCAATACATCTTCCTGAATCCTAAAATGGCCGATCTATGGCTCATGACAGGTCTCATCAGCCAAGCAGTCATTGACCTCGGATTGCACCAAGAGCTGCCCAATGATGCTAAAGTCTCCGTTTACCAACGCGACATGCGACGACGTATATTTTGGTGTGCATGGGAGATGGAAGTTGGCGTCTGCTGCATATTTCTGCGCCCTACAAGTCTTCCGGTTGGGCGCATAGATGTTCATTTTCCCATGGAGATTGACGACACCGCCATTACGCAGTCTAGCATATCACCGACTGGACGACTATCGAAATTCACGCAGCGTATCATTTGCCGCTTTCGCCTTATCGAAGCTGACGTCATATCCGTCTTGTGGCATGAAGACCCTATATCTCAAGAGTGCTCCTCGTTGGAGGAGTGGGTACAACACACTATCAATGCCATGTCAGATTGGCAACGCGAGATATATGCAGCTTCAGAGGCCAATAAAGATCGTAGCTTGAATGCACGATGGACTGAGATGCGCTTGTACTCCGACATCGCAACCCCTTACGTCTTGTCCTTGTTGCATCGCACGTCTCGACGACTGCCGAACCCAAGTAAAGAGCAAATGATGATCGCTCTACTCAATGCCGTCAAGGTTGCTGACGGCTACTTTCAGCAATCTGAGGCAGAAGCGGGAAAGATCAAATACGTCTTCCATCCATGCCATCATGTCTTCAATTGTGCGCTCATATTCTTGCAAGGTTTGCAGCGCTGTCCGAAAGAAGTTGCGGACCAATACTCATGGCAACAAGTTGAAGAATGGATGCACGTCTTTTCGAAATGCTTCTTGTCCATCTCAGAGCGATGGGCAGCCGCGAAAAGGTGTTTCGAAGAGTACGAGCGACTACTCCTTCCGGTCAAGAAGGAATACCTCGAATTCCTGAATCAGAGAGCGAGCTATTGTCCGCCAACACTCCAACAAACGGTCTCTGATGCAAGCAATCTCTACGACTACCAAGTGCCGCCCTCTATACTTACAGAGATCGACGAGGCTTACCAGTTCTGGACAGTCTTCAACCCCACCTCGGCGATCGATGCACCAGACCCACTGGGTGCGTACTCTTACAATCTCGCGCCTTCCGATTGGAATGCGGAGTTCTCTTTAAATGATAATATGGACATGACACCGGAGTTATAGTACTCTTTGGCGTTTCTCGATCACGTTTCCTCTCTCATCGGCATTTACGTCTTTCAACTTGATGACATTACAGCGCTGTACTGATTTACTTAGCTAGCATGTGGAATCGTTGCGCATTTTCGGTTTGGACTAATGAAATACCCTTGGGTCGCGGGTTTACATCTCTTCAGTGGTACTTTGTTGCTCTACACTTCCGCTGAGTATCAAGCTTGATAACACTTTGACTGGATTTCAACATGTGTGAATATGCGTGCACCCAAACGTCACTGGACACGTCTTGGGCGCACAGTCGATAATCATGAGGTTACATTCGCCAAAGCCCGCCGTGGCTTATTTCCGCGTACCCATATGCGGAGCACGCGGCACGGGAGTCGCCCGGTCACGTCCAGCGTCTACCAATGTGTCGGGTGGATTCGACGGCGCCGAGAGTGCTGCACTGCCAACACAGAGCGCATTGGGCCCCCACGCTGCGGTGGGGAAGGACGGGCCATTTACCCGCAGAGTATCTGCATATTCGTTCACGAACAAGAACTGCCCTATACACATACCGGCTACATAGTCACAAGACGTCTTTACTCGAGAGGCAAATTGGAAACGCAGTACACTACATCAATGTCGCGTGTGACGACTTTCGATAAGCATATAGATCTCCTGACACATAGTGTTGTGGCACATGCAGTTTATGCGAGCGTGCGCACATCTAACGTGTCCTAGTCATGGGCTTCTATCCATTTGACTGTCCGTATTCCTGTGGAAGTGTAAGAGTTGGGAATCTAGTTCAAATGAAGACGAGTATGTAGTACATCTTCCCTATAGCTCTAGACTCAGAGTTTCCTCTGGTTGTGTTGGTCTTCCCATCTTCAGCACTGCTTTCTTGCTTTTCAAGTCCATAACAATGTTGAACAGGGTACCACTTCCAGTGTCCTCGGTCTCAAACCTACATATTGCACCCGGCGCATTCTGCTGATCGGCAAACAATTGAGTCACGTCTTCCCAGCTCGGGTCGTCGCCCAGTGCTCCAACGTTCGTTGCCATTGTTTGGACCCTAGTGATGGAGTCCTTGAGCCATACGGTATCGATTTCGCCAGGGTGCTCCAACAGCAGATGGTTCGTGTGGATGACTCTTGAGCTAGAGTCTGGTAACACGTGCGCAAACGTGCTCTTCGTGAATTCTAAGCCCAGGGACGTGTTTGCATCAGCTATGAGAATATGGGCTGAGGATGCCATGCCGAAACTCTCCAGCTTGCGTACTGCTTCGTCGACTGACGTGCTCTCCAGTGCCATTCTCAAGCCAAAGTGAGCGGGCATTCGGGTAGAATCCACTCCGTGAACTTTTATGGCGTTGAACAACGTGCCTACGCCGCTGCTGTTGAAGCCGATTTTTCCGATTATGCCTGCCTCGGTTACTTGGATTAGAGTGGGCTTGTTCGCTTGTGTGATCTTGGTAACAATCAGGTTCTCTTGCTGCTCGGTCATCCACTGGGCACCGTCAGCATACGATGATCGCTTTCGTGTTCTTCTAGAGGTGCTGCATACATCCCAGTTCTGCGCCAACCATGCCCGGTTCTGGGTGTGCCACGCGAGGGCAGTGCAGCCATCACTGAACAGGCCAAAGTTGATCTCAGTTCGGACGTTTATTGCTACGATGTCTAGCAACTCGCGTCCAGAGCCGTCGGCAATGCCTTGCATCTCTTCGTGGAAGTTTGGCCATTGCGCCTTTGCTCGCTGTTCAAACGTCGACGCGTGCTGGAGGACCTGCGGCCATCTCTTCTTGCAGTTTTTGAGGAAGAGACACGCGTAGAACTCAATGCAACGCGCAATTTGTAGTTTCGCGGCTTTACCGTGTTGGTAGCCAATCTGTGTGAGATCAGCATAATCCTGGTCGCTGTCGCGTTTCGTCGCGGCGACAGCAATGACGTCACGCGTCACACTTACCTCGTACGGGGTGCCCTTGCACTCGACAAACAGCATCGTGTACGACAACCCGACAAATATCAGACGAGAAGATGTACAAGAAGCAGTCTAGACTTCTATTCGAAGGAACAAGTTGCTAAAGTCTATCTGTCGGCGGCAGCGCTTTCGGCAATCCCACGCACATGCCCCGCCTTCGACGTGCGCTCAATTCCGTCTCGAGCTACGCCACGCGCTCCTTCGTCTCTTATTCGCCGTGAAGGTGCAGCATGAGTAATTATCTGCGAACTGCACTGCATGAGCACAAATGCAGTCTATGGACCACTGCAAGCTAATCCACCGGCGTTGAAACCCTGGTACTACCTGCTTGATTAGTGCTTCGGAGTATATCAGCGACGGGCGGTGAACCACTCCATTGGTATCGAAACAGCCGCGGACAGAGATGGCAAGTACAACTGTGCCGCGGACTATGGCGTCTGAAAAGGCAGGGAGTTGGCGATAAGAGGGCATTGCATCTCGCCTGCACTCTATTGCTTCCCTTAGCGTTGCTTCATAGCCAACGACTTTCTTGCCTTCAATATTGCCTCGGGAATCATGCCAAAACGAGTGCTGTGTACTTATGGTATTGACATCGACGCGGTGAGTAACAGGTCTGCCATCTTCGTTCGAATTATTCGCTGATTACCGCCAAACACAGGTGAGCGGGTGGCACGTTGGATCCATTCGAAGCGTCTCGTGAGCACTAGCTAACAGCACACCAAGGCTGAACACCAAAACTGGAGCCCCTGCCAACCCAACCGATGTGTCCCGCGGTGTCTTTGGTGCCACTGTAGGCATTAATCGTCTGCTGAGGCTTTGGGACAAATACGACATCAAGACAACGTGGTTCATACCAGCACATTCTGCGGAGTCTTTTCCGCATCAGATACGCAAAATCGTCGAAAATGGACATGAAATTGGGCTACACGGCTACACACACGAATTCGTCTCCCTTTTGAACGAACAACAGCAACGAGACGTTTTGGGAAAGAGCATACAGGTCTTGACAGACATTGCAGGCAAGAAACCGCGCGGCTGGACTGCACCTGCCTGGAGCACGAGTAGGGAGACGATCAAGCTCCTCGAAGAGTTCGGAATTGTACGAGTACCATTCTCTGAGATCAGGCATAAGTGACGAGCTGACATCAATGTAGGAGTACGATCACTCCTTCATGCATCATGACTCTCAGCCCTACTACGTTCCTTCCCCGCACCTCAGCACATGTACAGAAACCGACGTATCAAAGCCAGCTTCTCACTGGATGAAGCCCATGTCAACACTGAAGCCATCCACAGTCGTGGAGATACCTGCAAATTGGCATCTGGATGATTGGCCACCTTTCCAGCTCTCACTAACACAGCCAAGCACGCATGGCTTCGTCGATACCGCGGTCATCGAGCGCTTGTGGAAGGAACAATTCGAGTTTCTGTATCGCGAATGTCCTGATGACGGAAGCTTCATCTTCCCAATCAGTCAGTGATATCCCTGGATGAACTGTATGTGAGACAAAGACTGACTTCTTACACCCATCTTTAGGCATCCACCCGCAGGTGAGCGGTAAACCACAAGTCATCTTACTGCACGAGAGGCTCATCGAGTGGATCAACGGACACGAAGGGGTAGAATGGGTCACTATGGAGCAAATCGTTGATGAGTTCAAAAGCGGCAATCTGAGCGGCGCGACCATAGAGGGTGGGGCGGACGTGTAATGTTACACCGAGATGGAGCCGAGATGTTACTCTCGCACGCGAATGACTAACATCCACTTCTCGGTTGGCACAACCCCTGGCAAATCCTTCGACGTCAAACTGAATGAAGAATATCGAAACGAGGTTTTACAGTCTAAAGTACATGTGCCGTGGCATTCCGCATTCTTCCTGCATAGCCGCTGTGCACGAGCGCTACGCCTCGTGAACCGTCCTCATGGGTCCGGAGCAAGGCGCATTGCACCGAGCGGCGAACGGCGACGATGGCGCCCCTCTCTCAAGCGAGGGCCTAGTCAAGACGATGTATTTGACTTTCCGTGCCCCCAGTCTCACAGTCTTGCCAACATCCCCAGGGCTCACTTTTGCATAATCAGGTAGTACACCATCGCCATACGTTACCGTTGCTTCTTTATCGAACTGTGAACTTTCTGTGGAGCTTCGGTGATTACATTGAATCATGCGCAGAAGAAAGAAGGGTGAATCACCTTCCGACCCACTCTACCATGCATCCCTCTTTCCGGTCTGAGTACTATATCAATTCTCTATTTTTTCTAATCTACCTGTCACACGCAACACCTCATCCCAATGTCCCAGCCAAGCTCCACCATACAACTTCAAATCTACTGCCTTCTTGCTCATCCTCATCCCCGCTCTCAACCAAGTTCACACTCGTACACATCCCACCAAGTAGTCTTCAAGTCCCTCGCCATAATATCCACACTCACTTTCCTCGCCTCGTCTTTATACTTCCCCTCCACGTCATCCGCCTGCTCGAACCTCCACACCATCTCAAAAGATTCTCTCTTTAGCCTCCTATCCGAATACTCTGCATCGACTCGGTTGCAAAGTGCTTGCTCGGCCAGCGGCAGTGTCTTCTGTCGACCGGGTACTTCGACGCTGAGAACGTGGGTTTCTTTGAGTACCTCCATCTTAAGAATTGTGCTGCGATTGGTAGCAGGGTGTGTGACGCGTATGTTGATGTAGAAGAATTCCTCGTTGTTTTCGGGGTAGGCGCATGTCTGGGTTTCGGGGGTTGCGGACACGATGTTGTAGAGGGCGCGAGAGAAGGTTGTGGCTTTTGTGACGACGATGAGGTAAATGGGCGCCATCTTTTGCGTACGAATAGGCAGTGGACCAGGATCTTGGCAAGATTTACATTTGCTGAAGTGGTGACTCGTGCTGATAAGCACTTGGACAGGAGCGTTTGTGTTTCGACACGTGATGAAACTACACGGTGTTGCTTGCTGTCAGGCCTAGAACCCACACATCGCGTGGTCTTCACAGAAGCTACTGGTTAGACATCGGGTGTACTCATTGCAAATCATGAGATAGTTTTCAGAGCAGATGAATCTGCTGAAACTACCCATGCATCCATCGAACAATCTACAGTGTTGATAATGCAGCTGCCTTTTGTACCACTCCTCTCGACACTGCTCTTTTGACTTCACTATCGATGTCGCTGGGCATAGAGAGCAACTCTCTTTCTCTCTTGATATTTTCATATAAGCTCAACGCTACGAGAACTTTCGTGATTTCGAGCACCTTCCCAACATAGCTCAGTCGGCGGCGCAAGCTTAAGCTTGATCTTCTCTCCCTCTTTCTCAAGACCTGTCGCTTCAACTGAAGAGAGTTTTTCGACTTCTTCTGTCGAGAGGTTCCATGGCAAGTAGACGGGTATCGATTCTTCGAAGGGCTTGCCATTAAATTTTTTGATGATTAGACCCTCTCAATGTTCTTGTGAAGGCTTGTTGCTCGCACGAGATTCGACGGAGGATACGATGTTTGGATACGCATTTCGTTGGGAACTGTAAAGAATTTTGTTTGAAACATTCATAAAAGAGCTGAGGCGAGGGAGCAATTGTATCCTGGGTGCTGCGACTCATCCACAGCTGTGAGCCATGAACTGTTGGACGCTAGCACTCGATTGGCCACGTACAGCATGTTGTGACCAACAGTCAACGGACACAGATCGTAGCAATAGCTGCTATGACGGGTAGGCAAGCGGCAGTCGAGCTTCGGGCCTGGGAATGACATGACGCTAGGTCCACTTCCCCCATCGAACCCATGTTCTGCCCCACCAGAGCGCATGCATGCAAGTGCGACCGCGGAACGCGGAGTATCTCGACGCGCCACCCGCCAAACTTCACGCATTGTTTGCTCACCCCGTCCAAAGCCTCAGCCTTCTTTGATCTTTAGCGTGTACACTGGGCGTTGCAGCACTCATATCATCATTTGACATACAATCAAGCCCTCCGCCGACTCATTATGGGCACTTTGACCGCTGACTGCCCACGCTTGGATGCACACTGTCCGCACAAGCTTGCCACAAGCTGCCGATTGACCTCTACCCCGAATTGTTGCGCTTGCGCCGACGAAAGAGTCCACTCGCGGACGTATCGCGTGTACATTGACGGAGTAGGCTTTGTGAACCGCGGCACAAGGTGGCAAGGCTATTGCTGGTTCTGCAAAGGTACGATATCGCTCGATGGAATCTCGAGCTACCAGATCGTAAACTGACTATAGACTAGAGTTCTGGAGCAACCGTCTTGCTGCTACCGACCCTCCCCTCGAAATCTCCCAGACACGCGTACCCGAGATACCTGACCAGACCGAGTTTCTAGAGCGATGGTGGGAGTTTCACCAAGGCTATCGCATTGCGAAGCTGCCGGATGGGACTGAACAACGCATGCCTGTTATAGGGGAGCCATTCCGGGAAGTCAGCCCTGGCTTCCTTCCGCGAACATTGGATCAGTTGAGGGCTGGTGTAGAGAACGATGCGAGCAGACCAGAGAACCGACTTCGAAGAAGACGATTAAGCTCTGAAGAGGAGCAACCAGAGCAGCCACATCAGAGTCTAGAAGACGCGCTAGATGACCTACTGCAAGAGACAGAGGAGATGGAGGTTTCGCACACAGAGCCCACGGTACCACCAGAACCACGAACTTCCGTCACACCCCAAATACAGGAAGAGCCGTCAGAGCCTCCGCGGCCCATGACACGACGAGAAGCGCAGCAACAAAATCGGCGAGAGCGATTCGCACGCGTATTCGGCTCCCGGGAGGAACTAGAGCAGGACGACTACGAGTCACCGCTTACACAGATGTACACACGAGCCTACGCCCGCCAACGCCAGGCCGACCAACGAAGAGCAGACGGGACCGAAATCGCACCCCCACTCGATGGCCTATCCCCACAAGATCGTCGAGAAATCGAGGAACAGCTACTATGGGGTGTGATGCGAGAGTCGCAGTCATTTGCAGAGACTCTAGAGCCAGAAAGCCAAGTCTGGAGTTATGCACCCCGGCGCCCAAATCTTGAGAACAACGACGTATCCCGCCCAGACCTGGATCTAGAGACAATATTAGCAATGCCCGGCGGTGGGGATGCGTCAACCAGACCTGTAACTGTAGCGTCGGCGCTCGAAATACTATCCAATGTGCGCGCCTCGGCTCTCCTTGAGCCCGGCATGCGCAGCACACGTCTCCAGCACAGGTTCGCTGAAGCGCGCGCATTCTTACGCGTCGACCCTCCGCAGCCAGAACTACCGCTCGTATCGCTTGACAGTCAGCCTGATCGGCCAGAGCCAAAGACGGACGCGGAAATGACAAAGGTACTCGCGTGCCAGGTGTGCTATCAGCAGCTTGCTGATGTAGCTGTCTTGCCTTGCGGGCACATGGTCATGTGTCAGTGGTGCGCTGATGTCGTTGTTCCGGTAAAGCATGGCCATATACCCGTACGGCCGACGAAGTGCCCCATGTGCAGAAAACAAGTGAAGCAGAGGTTCAAGATACATACGGGATGAGGTGGCTGGGGTGATGTCACGATGTAATGAAAGTAATGATCTACGATGTGTATATAGAATTGGATATAGGTATGATCTAGACAACAGACCAACTCCGGTCTGCTAGAACTGGTGACAATCTAGTGTAATGATACCCATCCACGAGTCTGCTATCTGGTTACTGCTTTGCTCTCTAACCTGTCTTCATCGTTGGTCCAGCTGGCATGTTCTCTCTCTTTGTGCCATAGAATGCGTAAAACCCGGAGCTTTGTGCGGGGAAGATGGGCACCGATCGTATGTAGGTCTCTCTGTACATCGACGTTGCGTCCCCGATCAGCCTGTGAAACGTTGTCATCCACACTCGTGGAGACTAGTCTTGCTCGTGTGAGTTGGAGTATACACATCGTTTTCTCGGCCTTTTGTATCGTTTACACATCGCGTCACTTCGATGAAGTGTACTCGTAGTGATGTCCAGCTCATGGGTGTGGTGGGGATGTGGAGGAGGGTATTGATGCCACACTAGCTAGTGAAGATGCTCAAGGCTCGAGAAGTCAACGATAGAGAGTCCGCAATCTCATGGGCGACAAGAGTTGCCTGACCTTTATCGAAGTGTTTCTGCCACAACATGGTCCGCTATGAGATGCGCATGCAGACGCCCATCCCTCCGATCAGAGGCAGCAGGGATAGACTCAAGGGCGTGGCTTCGGTTGTGGATGCGCGGGGTGAAGGTATCGTGGATGCGTTGAGATGCGATGCTAGTAAACCCGGAGCATGTGTCCGCGACAAGGATTCAGAGTCCACCGTAGATGGCGAACGAAGACAATATGAGTACCAAGGTGTTGATGACGGCCCAGACAAAGGGTATCCAGGTGGACATTTCGAAGTAGCCTGCCTGATATACGCCTCCAAGTCTGATGGTAGTCAGTATGCGATCCATATGGCTCTTTCCAGAGGTACCACTTACAGTCCGCCAACAATTGCACCCGCAACAAGTGCTTCAACACCTCCGACGATGCTGAAGACGGGCAGGGCTACCCATATCAACTTCCAATTGCGCCATTGCACTATGCACGCCCATAGCGCAGTGATGAAGTGGATGCCGCCGACCAGCAGCAGTGTCCAGTATACGGTGAAGCGGAATATGTCATCGGGACGATATAGGTAGAAGGACTGTGTTGCGCCGGCGGGAAGAGGCCAGTAGAGGGAGGGGAAGGGCGGCGTGGTGTAGCCGAGCGGAACCGCCGAGTCGACGCGTTGAATAAAGCTGGGGAATATACGGTTAACTACGTTCATGGCCAAGATGTGGGGAACGTGTTGAGGCGAACGTGAATGTTGGGCCATGCACAGGGGGAAGACCGCGGTGAGCACAAGGGTCCAGTTGGGCTTACCTCATCTATGCGGCATGGCTATGGGGCGCTTCGTGTACTGCTGCGCGTAGGACGAGGACCGCAAGATCATACGATATCAGAAGCCGATGTTTTGGAGTTGATGCTTGTGACGTCGATCTCCGAGTGAATGTCGACGGCTAGAGCCCGAGCTTAGCGCAACCTCGGCTGACGCGAGCGATGATCAACACCAGCCATTGCATCTCCAACACCTCCATGCGCATCTTCTGGTAGCCTGTCGCGGGCTTCTCGAGGTCATCATGGTCGTCGATCGCCTCTTATCCACGCTGCTGCGCTCGCTCCAGACATACACAGATCAGCAAGACACGCCGCGGTACGCATCGCGACTCCCTATTCGCAATGCGCATGCTAATGACCACAGGCTACTGGGAACCGCGTCTTCACTCCTCACCACGCTCGGCAACCCCCACAATCTCAGCCTCCTTACTTCGCACCTCCTTACCGCGCCCGCGCTATGGGACCGTCCCGATGGCGTCCGGACGCCTCTTCGCATGCTCTCCGTCTTTCACTCGGCCGTCACCACCATCATCAACCACCACAACGACGTGCGGCACAACAAAGCAGCTAAGCTTGCGCCAGGCCAGACGCCAATAGGGGGAGGTCTTTCGCTAGACGAATGGATACGCGCCATAGTCGCCGGAGCCGACGACCGGAGCCGCAGATGGAAGCACTTGGTCGTCCTCGCCGGCCTGCTGATCGGTATCGGGAGCCTCGAAGAGCAAGGCATGGACCTGTACTGGGCATCAGCTATGCGAAAGAGAGTCGAGGCCGCATTGGTGCGCGCGATAAACCTCGCTCTGGTGGAGGTCAGGGAGCGTTCCGAGGCAGACGGACTGGGAGGCCAGACAATAACACTGACCCTCAATCATGCCTTCGGATGCATCGGAGACGTGGAAAGGACACAGCTTGATTACGACCTGCTGCTCCCAGTTCTCATTGGAACGGCATACTACTCGAATGAAGGCTTCCAGTCGGCCTACTTCCTTGGGAGCCTGGATCTTGACGTACGAACAATGCAATCAGGGAAGCTGGACTGGAGTGTAGGTCTTTTCGGAACCTGATACATGTGTTCACGTATACTGACTATGTATAGCCACACTCTAGCTCTTACAGACAAGTCGAAAGTATTATGAACAGGCCCTTGGTATCATCTATGGGTCCCCTTTCACGGCTAATCGCGCATGCTGTCGAGAACGTCAAGAACCCATGGATCATCCAAACAATGATGGACGACCTCGCAAGCTTTTCTCGCGCTCTTACTACACAATGGCGACAGACCAAGTTTTCAGACATCGAGCCCTCCGAGGAGGCGGGAAATCTGGAAGACGATGCGCTTCACAGGACAACTCCGCAGTTGTGGAACTTACTCAAGGCGGCTCTCTTTGCTACTACTATCATTCTGCGAGGCGTATTCACACGAACCCTCGCCGACAGAGCCCTTGCTGCAGACGCTATCGCTCCCATGCTAGCATCACAAGCCCTACAAACCCTGCGGCACCTATACTTCATCACCTCCCGACTCGGCCCAGCGTCCTTTTCCCAGCATACTTTTGTCTATCTCACGGCGATAGACATTCTCTCCGCCTACCCCAATCACGCCGATAAGCTCCTCAAAACTATTGCGCCTCAACACCTTGGTCAAATACCAAGCCACCCACTTGACCGCATACTGGACCTCTACTTTCTCAATACAGCAGAACACTTCACTCTGATATTGTCGCCAGCCACCAACGAGGACTTGCTTGTCGCGTCGGCGGTACCCTACCTTGCGGCTGGTGAGAATCGCCATATGTTGCCAGTGTTCGAAGCTGCCCATAGCGTTATGCTTGCTGTGCTATCTGCTCCACAATCTGCCGAGATTACAGCAAAACACCTGCCGTTCTACATCGACGCTCTCTTCAGTGTTTTCCCTCATAACCTGTCCCCGCGCCAGTTCCGCCTAGCTTTCAAGACCTTGATGCGTGTCACGGCTCCTCCTTCCACCTTGTCGGCAACCCATCCCGATCTCCCAGCCACACTCCTAGAGCTCGTATACCATCGCGCTCTCAACGCTCCTTCACAGCCACTACCACCTGATTCGGTTGCCTTGGCTTTACAAGGCTCAGACGCACCACCCCCTGCCCTCTCGGAACAGGCAGTACTCGCCTTGACCCTCATAGATGCCCTGCCTTTCCTTCCTATATACCTGCTGGAGGAGTGGCTACCTCTATGTGCCGAACTGCTCAATCAAATCCATGACGATGAAATGCGGGAGAATGTCAAAGCGCGATACTGGGAAGTGCTAGTCAGCGGCGAGATGGATGCGGAGCGTAGTGGTGTTGCTGTGAATTGGTGGACGACAAAGGGAGGTAGAGAGCGAGTACTCTACGGAAGAGAAGAACAGTTGGACATGATGAGTGGTGCGCTACCTGTTGAAGAGCGACACGTGCGAGAGAGTAAGCTGTAGCAATATGATACCCCAAATCAAAATGATGCATATTAAGCCTTCTACGGTCTCTGGAAATATCCATCAAATGTACGAGCAACAACGTTGATGCAGTAACTTCAACAATATTACAGGTCAGATTGTATGCAAACGCCCGTCAGGGTCAGTGCTCTTCTGCACGGCAACAAACAAACGGCTGATACCACACCCCCAATTGAACTCGTCTCACCCTCTTTCAAGTCAAGAACAATCGCCAATCCGACTCTCCAGTTGAGAGATATGCAGGCCCGTATGATTGACCGCTACATACCTGATCGCGACAACGCGTACCAACGCAGGTCCGACGCACCACGCTCTTCTTCAACTCTTATCAACCGACCCTTCCAAAGCGCTCCATCACTCTCAAGCGCCCACTATACACGCCGAAATTCAAGCCAACACACCTCATCCGACGACACACCCACCAAACTCGACAAGTCACTACCCAAGAACTTCCCCCAACCTCTAACCTGTTTCTTCTGGCACCAAAACGGACGATGCAACAAACGAGACATCGACTGCGCGTATGCACACTACAACACTGGGTTCATGGCCGGTGCGCCTGTCACTCCACTCGACTGTGCGTTGTCTTTCATCCACGTCCCAACAACAACCTGCTGACTTCCTTCCAGCATCCAAGCCCCTCGCGGGTAGAAACCTGTCCGATTATAATAAGACCCTTAATTCCTCCTCCGCTCTTATTCTACCAGATATCCGTGACCGCGAGGTCGCCGTTATGAACCGCGAGATGGAGGTGGAAGAGCAGCTGCGCGCGTTGACGCGGCGCGAAAGTGTCTTGAAGGGTAGGGAGAGTGCTGTGGAGAGGAGGGAGAGGGAGGTAGATGAGAGGGAGAGGTTGCTTGAGCGGAGGGAGGCGAAGCTAGTGAGGAAGAGGAAGGATGGTAGGGTTTTGGAGAAGAGAGGTAAGAGGATGGAGGAGGGGCTGGGAAGACGCTGAGGAGATGTGTGTGTGTTGTTCGTGAAGGGTGGGGTTGGAATAAGATTGTAGAAAGTCCGTTTTTGGGGCTTCGAGGTCAGAATTGGTGGTACAGAAGATGGTGTGTTTCGTATAATGAACTTGGATACAGTACTTGTAGAATAGTCGTAACTCTTCTGTCTATTACGTTTATGTTACAAAGTCATTTGTAATATCTTAGTCTGATCTGGTGTTATTCTCATGCCGATACAGGTACTCTTGTTTTTCGCTCAGTGATCGTCTTTTCGACCACGCGTCCGTTTGTTGTATTTGTCCGGCACTTCGGTTCCTACCATCCTGTTCTTGTGGATTCCCTTCCCTTTCCCTTTCCCTTTCCCTTTCCCCTTTGCTTTCCGTCCGCGAAGAACGACGCGTGTTGGTGGAGGCACGCTTGTCGACACTGAACTGCGTCAGTTGCACGGCAGGCGACAAACCCCGTCAGAGGCTATTGCGCTGCTCCAAATAGTCAGGGCAGGCGCTGATATCATGTTCCCGATCCCAATAGTATGACAGTGTTCCCATGCCAGCCCTATCGTCATGGGTGCGTATTGTGATAACTTTGTGGCGCATTGAGTTGGCCGTCTTCTCGCCACTCCTTGTTGTAACCCCTCTCAGAAGTAGATGAAAGTCTCGATACTTTCCGTCCGTCCATCAGACCTCTTAGTATCCTGTAGGACAATACCCCCCTCTTCATCGACCATGTGCGCATTTCCCGGCTCCCGAATATACCCATCTCTATCCACCCTCGAAGCCATGGTCCCTCTTGACCCCGACGTCCCTGAACTTGCCGACTTCCACCAGGTACCACCACCACCCTTCTGAATGCTGGCATGCGTCGTGCCTTGGCTAGATCCGCTGTACATACTCGTTGCCACCTTGAAGTAATGCGACAGGAAGACTTTGAGGGCGGGCGCACTCGCGCAGATGGCGCCGAGTTGAATTTCCAGCACGCAGAGTAGCCATGCGGGCCAGGACTCCCAGGTCGAATCGTAGAGGGGGCTGTTGAAGGTGCGCCAGACGAAGTAGGAGCGTACGCCAGCGACGATGCAGACGAGGTAACCGAGAGCGAAGATGGCGCCCAGGGCAATCTTTTGGCGACGCGGGATGTGTAGGTTCCAGTATAGGATTGTGGGAAGGAACGCGGCGATGGCGTCTTGTACAGCGCTTATTATACTCGCTGATAGAAGGTCTGCCGCTTCATCGATCCAGCAATGGTATGCGTATCCTGTGAGCTGCTTGGTAATATCGAATTGGTACCAGAAAGCGGTAAACGGTGTGCAGGCTGTGAAGAGGACGATGACGAATGCGATAGAGAAGATGGCGATGGCAACGATGTTAAGCCATGTTGCGATGCGGAAACTCTTCGTTATGGAGCGTGAGTCGAGACGGCGGTAGAAGAGCAGGATGGATATCTTGATCATCCCTCCTGCCACAATATACAAAGCGTAGAGGGCGAAGGTTACTTGGCGCTCTGGGACGTACTTGTCGGGATGGACGTCCCAGATGTGTCGATTGAAATTGTAGCGTTCGGTCGCTAATGTGATCAT